TGTCACTATTGACACTTTGAAAACTATGTTTGTAAACATTTATGGTTTTGGGTTGTTTTTGAAAAATGAAAATTTTACCGTGATTTTTTTGGGATGTTACAGACTTTTGTGTATGAATATTGATTTGGATTTGATTTCTTGATGGGTTCTGAGACATGCATGAGATTTCCATAGAAACATTTATTTTGACTTATTATGGCTTCAATAGATGCATTGGACATGCAAGTCTATAAAGCACTGACTTTATGTTGGATTAGGTGTTAGAATCTGTTATGGAGTAAATGAGCTATGGACTTTTTAGGATAAGTGCTTAATGGTGAAATTCATGTCATATTTAGCTCCTTTGAATGTAGGGTTTGAGGTTTTGACCTTGTGGATGGTCTTATCAGGTAAAGTTGGAAACTTTGTCCATCTAGACCTTGTTTCAGACCAAATTTGAAATTTAGAGCCTTTGGGACAGAAGAAAACAACATAATCCATTAAGTTGTTGAACACCTAGTGCCCACAGCGTGGCTCAGGTCTCCACGACATGGCAATAGGGAAAATCACGTCTGGTTGTTACTAGAGGTCCACGACGTGGCGATAGGTGGCCACGATGTGACAGTTGACTAAAGTCAACATTAACCGTTGACTAAAGTCAACGCTACCCATTGACTGTGACGAGTGACCTTTTACTTGAGTTGACTTTTGGTCAAGCATCTATTTTTAATAAGAGAAATTAAATATCATCCTACCTTTTGTTTCTATTTTTCTTTCTACATATTTAAGATGATGACAAGTGTACAAATTTAACATCTCAATCAAATTTAAATTAAATTTAATAACATCCCAATAAAATTTAAATTAAATTTATTGATACTTGCCACTATCTAAATAGGTAGGAAGATAGTAGGAACAAAAAGTAGGAGTATATTTAATTTTTGTTTTAAGGAAGAGCTCAAGGTTTAGTTGGTTTGACTGATTAGGTGGTGCATAGCAGCGACAATCTGTCAATGAGAGCAGTAGCAGTAGAGCATTTTTTGTGAGGTGAGTCTTCTCAATACACTAGTGGGTCGAAGGCGCCAACGTTGGCCTACTGATCCATATGTGTAGGATGTATGTGGCAATGTGACTATTACTAATATGATTGTATGATATATGCATGGAGCCAATCTGGGATCAGAGTCATTATGGACTCGGGGTTGATATAGACCCGACACAACTACTTGTTACATGGGGTTGATACGGACCCGACACAACCACATGTTATTATATTTATATGTATGTTGTATGTGGTATTTTGGGGAAGCTCACTAAGCTTTGTGCTTACAGTTATGTTTATGGTTTCAGGTACTTCCGATATTAAAGGGAAGGGCCTCATGTGATGACACAACACCACCTCATGTTTCCACAATTATGATTTCTTTTACTCTGATGTTTTGGATAGTTTGTATCATGGATGTTTTCGAGACATATGATGTATGAGATTGATGAATTTGAAAATAAAAATTTTATCATTATTTTTGGGACGTTATATTTATACTTTACCAATGTAAAGATGACTACATAGTAAGGGAAATATAATGATATTAACCTTTATTGTCATCCATTTTGTTTTTCAAATCAATCGAGAAGAAATGACAAAGAAGCATAAAACAATTTTCACAATTGAGGAATGAATATAGGAAACTAGTGCTTTCATTCTCATTGGGGAATCAAGAACTCGATTTCTGCTAGTAAAAAAAATTGTAGAACCACTATGTTAAGGTAAATTTTCATTCCCTTAAACATAACATCCTAATTCTTGATTTTTGTAATGAAACATGATGTTTAGTGATGTTATTAGTTTTAGGGTGCAAAGTCACACATGAATGCATTTGTGCTTTACCCTTATTGATGTGGAAATGAGTTGTCTTTCCTATAAATAGGAAGTAAGTGACACTCATATTTAGTAATGATCATTTTGGAGTGATAGATTAGAGAGATAATTTTTACAATACCCATTTGTATGTTCTTTCTAGATCTAATGAGAGCTTAACAAGATTTATTTACTCCATGTGTTTATAGTTTACATAATGATTCACTAGATCTTTTCTAATTCCGCACATGTCATCATAATCAACACCACCACAATTAGTTTTCCAAAACACATTGGTGATGCTGGTGGACATCCGTATATATGTAACACCCACCCAATTAACCTATAAATTGAAAGGGTTATCTTTTGAGTGATTTTTGCAACTTTTGTAAAACAACGCTTTACCCAATTTTATAGCAACTTTTGGTATGAGATTTACATGACACCACATAAGTAAGATGTATGGTGTATGTCACGAGTTGTATGAACATCATACAAGTCATATGGAGTCTATTATGAATCATGTTTTCATTATGCTTGGATACTACTTTCTAAGAAGTATACATGTTGTATTAGTTGTGGGTTATGGATTTATGAATGACTATACATGCAATACAATGATGTAGATATGGGTGTTGCATTTTAAGGTTGGTTCGACCTTTACTAAACCAAGGGTATGTCTTATAAGTAGTGATGCATGTTATATGATCCTCCATACAATCCATATGGATGTTATTGTTTGACATATTTATTTAAACCAAAGTAACACAACCTTAAGACTCCTTTAGCATAATGTACCATGTCTAACAATATCAAGGTTTTAAATAATGTCAGAAAGACTTGGCGGTAAAGTCAAGCCTCAAACTTTTCTGACCCGTGGCGAGCCACGTCGTTTGTAAAGTGTGACTTAAGGTAACAATTATATATATATATATATATATATATATATATATATATATATATATATATATATATATATATATATATATAATTCATTTTTTATACATATGTGACTTAATGCGATAGTTTGTCAAAAATTGATGGCCAGTACAAGCCTTGGAGCCATGACACGCCATGGCTCCACCATAGTGAGCTTTTTAGAACATCGAACAATATGGTATGACCTTGTAGAAGGAGGTCAGGAACAAGACATACCATGCTTATATGAATTTTACTTTCTCGTACACTCTTAGACAATATGTGTATATCTTTTGAATATCCTTTGTATGAGCTATTTGAAATAACCATTTATAAAAAAAAAGACTAATAATATATTAGAAAATCAAAGTATGTACAAAGGTCTCAAACATCACGTTCAACTAAAATTCCTCAAGGACAATAATTATGACAAGTCCTTATTTGATTGTATTTTAGTTTCAACTATGTTTTTATGATCTAATTTTAACATTTCCACACCCATATCATGTGCTACCAAACATATTATTGTCGATACTATGACCCATATGTTCAATATCCTGTATTGTTTGGGTTCGACCTTTTTGAATCGCTATATAAACTAGATTTATCATGCTTTCGACCTTGGCTTATTTTCCTTGTCAAAAGATCAAGAGAAAAAGAATTGGATATTTAGGAATTTTTTTTTACAAAAGCCATTGTAATTAGGCTAATATGTAAAAACCTTTGATTTTTTTGGGGTTAATGACCTAGGAAGGTAATAAAGTTTTAAATTTGTCTATATTAGGTCCCTGATGTATTTTTTTGTATATATTACACCAACATGGTTGTTACAACCGTTTAAATGTTGTCCCTTTAAACGTTAAAAGGACGACATTCAAACGGTTATAACAACCATGTTGGTGTAATATACAAAAAAAAGACCTTAATAACCTAATGTAGACAAATTTGAAACCTTATTATCCTCCTATGTTGTTAATCCTTCAAAAAGAGACTAGAGATACAAGATTTGTTGGGGATACCCTTTTGGGGTTAATGACCTAGGAGGGTAATAAGTTTTTAAATTTGTCCATATTAGGTCCCTAAGGTATTTTTTGTATATATTACACCAACATGGTTGTTACAACCGTTTAAATGTTGTCCATTTAAACGTTAAAATGACGACATTCAAATGGTTATAACAATCATGTTGGTGTAATATATTCAAAAAGACCTTAATGACCTAATGTAGACAAATTTGAAACCTTATTACCCTCCTATGTCATTAATCCTTCAAAAAGATACTAGAGATACAAGGTTTGTCAGGGATACCCTTTTATTTTGACCCTGACTTTGCCACTTAAAAATGACATTTAATAAAATATGTTTTTTATAATTAATTAATGAGTATATTTGGAAAATTTTTAAAAAAAAAAAAAAAAACTTAAAAGCTAGCCAAAGCAACTTATTAAAACAAGAGCTTGTAAGCGATTTTTTAGCTTGCCAAATATGACAATTTAAAAAAAAATCAAAAAATAATCTAGCTTATTAGCTAATTGTGTTGCACCAAATATAGCCTTAATAATCAAGACTTTGATTATTATTAGATTGATTATTTATTTATTATTATTATTATTATTATTATTTTGTAAAAATGACAAAATTGTTATATAACATTTCAATTTATATTATTATCTAGTTAGATACTAATATAAATTGTAAAAAGGTTAAATGAAATAATAAAAATATTAAAAGTGATATTTAAGTCATTAAAAATAACCATGCAACTGGAATTTGGAATCACAATACTATCCGTGTAAAAAAAAGGGAAAATGACTTGAGAGGTTAAGTTACTTTTTAAAATGTACACATTTAGTCCTTATTTTTTTTTTTTTGTAAACTAAGCCCTTATATTCGATTTTTTGTAATTGTGCAATCCTTTTGACCTGGTATACCCAATATACTGGTCATATAAGATTTTGATTTTATTTTCTTGAAATGAAATAACCAGGTGTTATCATACATGGATATTGTTAAATTACACCACATTGAAACAACAATTAAGGCTCATTTAATAAGCCATTCCTCCATTCACTTAGCCGATAATCCCTCAAACTTCTTGATTTACAATTACCATCAACAATTGCAGAAGATGCAGATACAATCATTGATGTACACTATCAAGGGTTGTTCACACCTACCCAATTGATGTATTTTGATGGAATAAAAGCCTCGGTACATTACACGGTTGTGAAGAAGATGAACTTCCATGATTTCATCCCCTTTCTTGAAAAGCTTACTATCGGGAGTATGCAAAGATGTGTATTACTGTCCACATGAAGTAAGGTTGTCGGAGGGATTACATGCTATTCGAAATGACTGTGATTTTAACGAGTTTCTTGAATATATGAATGAAAAGAAGAGATTCGATGTGTATGTGGATCATCATCATGAGCCTTTGTTTGATCGGATTCAGGAGGAAAAAGCAGACCTTGAAGATGAAGATTTGGTTTCTATTGATGATGTGGAATCCATTTTAGAAGATGGTCTGAAAACTGAACATGTAGAGGACGATGAAGTTATATCTCTCAAAAGAAATTTCAATGATCCATTCCTCAACAAACTTTGTCCAATACAGAATGATGACTTGGTTGAAGAAGATCGTAATGTAATACGACCTATCTACCCAAGACATGATCATACTCAAGAATGGAATCAGATGAAGCCTCGATTAGGTATGAAATACTCTACTACTGCTAAACTTAAATACTCTCTTAGTTGTTATGCTGTAGTAAATGGTTATGATCTGTGGTATGAAAAGAATGACAATACTAGGTTGCTAGTTAGGTGTTGTAAAGGAAAGAATCCCACGTGCCCTTTTAGATTGTATACTTCCTGGATAAAAGAGGAACACACTTTTCAGATTAAGTCTCTTATAACAGAGCACAAGTGTTCTAGGGCATTCAAACTTGGTTCAATTGTAACATATAAGTGGATAGGAAAACAATTTGTGAATGATGTTTTGGAGAGTCCTAAACTATGTTTAAGGAAAATGAAAGCCCTAGTATCTAAGATATACAACATTAATGTGAGTGTTGGGCAATGTAGGAATGCAAAAGAGTTAGCATTGTCTGAAGTTGAGGGAAGTTTGAAAGAACATTATGCCAAATTGTGGGATCATGCAGCTGCAATCAGAAGGGCTAATCCAGGTTCACATGTTGAGGTGTTCTTGGAGCCACAACATGATAGTAATATGGTGTTTTATAGGTTTTATGTTAGCTTTAAAGGTGTTGTAGATGGGTGGTTACATAGATGCAGAAAGGTAATTGGGGTTGATGGTTGCTTTCTTAAGGGTGTTTGTAGAGGGGAGCTCTTATCAGCAGTGGGTAGAGATGCTAATAATAACATCTATCCCTTAGCTTGGCCAGTAGTCAATGTTGAGAATAAAAGGACATGGAAATGGTTTTTGGAAAACCTGATGGAAGACATTGGGGGGAATGGTCATGGCATTACAATCCTCTCAGATGGCCACAAGGTAATCATTCTATTTTTTTCAATTAACTTTAACTATTTTGATCATTTAATTAACTAATCATTTTATTATTTGAATCAAGGATTACTTGAAGTTGTGAAGGAAATACTTCCTGGTGTGGAGCATAGATTATGTGCTAGACACATTCTAGCTAATTTCCACAAAAAATTTAAAGGAGAACAGTACTTTAAACCATTTTGGAGGGTTGTGAATGCAACAACTGTATCAAATTTTGAAGCAGTAATGAATGAGATTAAGTCCTTGGAAAGGAAGGCTTATGACCATCTCATAGACAGGGATCCAAGGTGTTGGTCAAAGGCTTTTTTTTAGAGAGGGTATGGACTGTGATGCAGTAGAGAATGGAGTTTCTGAAAGTTTCAATTCTGTTGTACTTGATGCTAGAAGGAAACCATTGATAACAATGTTGAAGGACATAAGATGTTGGGCAATGCAGAGGTTATGGATGTAGAAGCAAAGTGGTTTGAGTTGGGATTTGGACATATGCCCAAGTATCAGAAAGGAAATAGAGGATTTGAAAGAATTGAAAAGGTTAGTAACTATTTCATTATTTATACATTGGTTTTATAATGGTAACTGACTATCTTCTTGTATATTGATAGATTTTGGGTACCTTATGTGAGTGGCTACAAAGAATTTGAAGTGTTCTCAGGAAATAAGAGGTATGCTGTTGATCTGAATCAGAGGGCATGTGGATGCAGAAGCTGGCAACTCACAGGCATTCCATGTGTACATACCATATCAACAATTTCATCATTAAACCTAGATGTGGAGGCTTTTGTATAAAACTCTTATACTAAAGCCTCTTTCCTTAGTAGCTATGAGTATAACATCCATCCACTCAATGACAATTCTGAGTGGCCATATGTTGAAGGACTTCATACTATTTTGCCTCCATTAAAGAGGAGGTTACATGGCAGGCCATGTGTCAAAAGGAAAATAGATCAGGCAGAAAGAGAGCTAAGTGGGCACACAAGGCATACTGTGTCAAGGGCAGGCATTCCTCTAAGATGTACCATTTGCCAACAAACTGGCCACAACAAAGCCACATGCCCAAGTAAGCCAACTCCAGCTCCAAGCACAACAACTCCAAGTCATTCAACTCCAGCTCCTGTCAAGAGAATTCATGTGAAGAAAGCTCATGTGAAGAAGGGTCCTGTGAAGAAGGGTCCTTGTGAAGAGAAGTCTTGTGAAGAAGGTTCCTTTGAATGATGTTGGTAGGGTGAGAAAGTTTTCAGAAAGAATAACAGAAATTGGTCTTCAGAAAAATGTTAAAGTCAAGGATGGAACTGGATGCAACGAAGACAAACCTGTGACCTTAGATTAATTAGGTTATGATGTAGTGGGGTAATGCATATGATATATATTTTGATGTAGTGTGGGGTAATCTTTTGAGCTTGATTACTATATTACTCCTACTAGTTGTTTGCTTTTGATGTACTTGTCGAATCTTTTGAACTAAATCACTGTATTACCCCTACTGGTGGGCTTATATTTTGTAATTATTAAATGGATTGATGCCTTTTGTCATCCACTTTTATTTGTCTTTACATCTAATTGTCTATAAAAGAATCTTTCCTGTAATTTGTCTTGGTTTTACCTCCATTTGACTGACTTAATTACATCAACATTCATATATAATAGCAATAAACTTTACCATTACATAAACATAAAGTTACATAAACAAGAATTACACAACAAGTCTATTACATCAAAATCCCTTAAAACCACCACAAACATATCTTCAACCCCAAAACATAACCTTAACAATGACCAACATAATCAGTATCTGAATCATAACCTTCAACTGTTTCACTTATTCTCTAACAGATGCCACATCCTCTAAAACTTGTTTAAGATAATCTGCAAAATCCGAAAGAGTATCTTCTGCAATGGGCTTCATATTCTCAGGTTCTTCATCAATCCATTCCCAAAATTTAAACTTTTTCCCTGGTTTATGTAGTAATAAAATCAACAACATAGAAGGTAAGAAGAAGAAACTTGATGCGATTTGACAAATAAAATCAATTTTGGTATTTACCAATGAGTTAGGGCACACTCGAAATTTCTTTCCAGGGTTATCTTTGGTCTTGGAGGTACGAATTCTTGAAGGGAGTTCATAATCACATAGGACTTCCTTATCTAATCTCTGATTGCTTGAACTCGTGGAGATTCTTGAGCCACTTGACATCTTCTTTTTTTCGTCTACGAATTCCCCACTTCTCTTATCTACTATGTGTTCGAGTTTGAATGTGATTCTTCCTGATTTTGGATGTTAACATTCGTTTATAAGGAGTGACTAAGCTAATTAATTTTTATGCAGTTGTTGTTAGTGCCACGTGTGCTTCCACATCAGCAAAACCCATAGAAGCCGGTCAAAAGAATATATTGTGTACATATTAATAAAATATAAGAGTTTAGTTTACAAAAAAAAAAAAAGAATAAGGATTAAATGTGTACATTTCAAAAAGTAACTTACCCTCTCAAGTCATTTTCCCTAAAAAAAAAAAAAGCTAAATACTAAATTTATGCTTTTTTGTAAATCGTAAGATCCATTTATGTAATTATTCAAAAAGCTTTTAATGGTTAATAACCTAAGATAATAATAAAGTTTTGTCCACGTTTATAGGATCTTTTTTTATACATATTACACCAACGTGATTTGTTAAACCATTTAAATGTATTTTTTTAAACGGTAAGAGAAATAATATTTAAACGGTTATAACATTGCTGACATAATATATATAAAAAAATCATTAGAGATTTAATATAAACAAAATTAAAACATTATTACTACTCTAACTATTTTTTCTTCATATTTAATTTCTCTTACTTAAAATAGAAAAAAATGTTTGGCTCTATGAAAAATGTTCAGGCTCTAGATTTCGAACTTTGGACTCCAAGTAGGCCACGCTGAAGAGTAATATTGACTCCGTTTCATCTCCATCACTTACCGCCGGAGATATCAACACATAAACGCTCACGGCCACACAGCGACGTAGAATCGTTCTTAACGTTCATCGCTCCTTCAAAAATTCACGGAGATGGCGATGACAGCCACCTCTGCAGTGTAAGCCAAATTGAAGCAAAGCTTTTCTCTGTAGACAGCCATCTAAATGTACACCCCACTTCTCCAACTCCACCCAACCACCAATTTCGCATCCCATTCACACTCTTCTCAAAATCCCCGTATGTTCTTCATTCATCATTATCAATTTCCCCAAACCCCAAACATTCCCAAGCATACTTATTCATCCCTTTCTCACAACCGAAAAACCCTGTTTAAAACCCGTATCAAATGTACAGAAAATAGCGATTCTAATCCACCGAAATGGGAAAAACTGTTACCAAAAAATATTATCTCAGCTGAGAAAATCCTCAGGTCGATTGCAGGGGCAACTTCTAGTCCAATTTGTCAGTTCATATCTTCACCCACTACTTTCTTGCACTCCGTGGATCCCAGAATAAAACTGGTTAGCTTCATTATTTTTAACACTACTTCTTTTCGCAAGTGTGTTCAATTGGGTCGTGGGTTTTTAACTTTGTATGCTGTTTTCAATTTGTTTTTCGTTCCCAATGTTAAATTTCATTACATTCTATGCCCGTTAACGAATTAGTTCAATAAATTCATCGGTATTATTCATGATTTCGATGGGTTTGTTCGTGTATTCTATGTTGTGAAATCTCAATTTCAACCCTAAATTGGTTATCTCAAGCAATTTAGGGCACCGATACCATTGACTTCTCATTAATGGAGTTAGTTCATTCTCTAGTGTGCATAACAATTACTTCACAGGAAGATTCAAATACATCTTTTTCCGCTCTTTAAAGTTCCTATATTTCTTTTTTTTTGCAGGCATGGCTTCTTGTGTTAGTTGTTTTACCTGCAAGATCTCATATATACATGCGTTTTGGATTAATCTCTTTTCTTGCTCTATTATCTGCATGGATACTACCAAGACAAGTTTGGATGGTATGTTATCACCATTTAACATTTTTCTTATACCCAATAATGTCAAAAAATATAAATTCTTCAACTTTATAGAAAATTCCATGATTCCATCATCATAACATAACAAAGTTTCCTTATAACATACTCTTTTCTTGAATCCCAAATACTATTTTGTAGGATCAACTAGGAAGAGTTGCCCTGTTATCTGGGATTCTGTTCATAATGTTAGGGTTGGGTGCAGATAGTGTTCCCATGGTTGTTCAATCAAGAACACCACCACCTTCAATGATGGGATTACCAAACATTCCATCATCTTTTCAAGGTTATTCATATCTACTCTTCAAATTAGGACCTTTGCAACTTACAAGAAAAGGATTATCTGTAGCTAGCACATCTGCTTGCTTAACCTTCACTGTAAGTTTCTTTAACTTTTAAAACATCACCTTATGAGTAAAAGATAATAATAGTAAAGTACACATTGCCTATGTTGTGATTTGGTTGTAGATTTTTCAAAGTGCAAGTCTTTGTTTGACAACTACTACACCAGAACAACTAGCATTTGCTCTACAATGGTTTATGAAGCCTTTGGTGTATATTGGTGTCCCAGTTGCTGAAGTTATTCTTACTCTTCTACTATCATTGAGATTTATCAACTTAGTATTTGATGAGGTGAGGTGGATGCTATTTTTGAGATTTATTATTAGAAAGAATCGAATCATAAATTGTGTAAAATTTACTATGTTCATGGTAGGTTCGGATTGTTGCTTTGGGGATTGTGTCACGGAGGATAAATTGGAAACAACTGGCTACTATGGAGACAGTCGAAGGTAAATCCTTATCTCAAATACATCATGTGACATGACATGATATGATATGACATGACATGACAGAACAAAACCTCGTTGATCCCACCCAAAAAGATAGAATAAGGTGTGATAGGGATTTGTTCTTGATCTATGAAAAAGACGTAAATGCCCTTATCATCGAAAATAGTTAATAGCCCTAGAAAGCCTAACACAACCTCATGGATCTTGAAGACTAAGTTCCAACTCTCTTCAATGATAAAGACAAATATGTTTATGATTTAAATTATCCAATTTTCTCTTGTGAAATTGCAGTTTTTTTTACGTATATTCGTCGGATCTTTAAAAATATTTTTAATCATGCGGAGCAGATAACCCAGGTTTGAATTATTTGTTCTTCACTTCTTCTTGATTGTTGTCTTTATTGTTATATTTTTCAGTGAATTAGAATGGCTAAATGCAAGAAATAGCAATGTATTTTTATTGATTTGTTTATTATATCATCATATTTACAACTTTGACCCAAGTATTAATCCTTTTACAAATTTGCCCCAACTCTTTTACAGGTTTAGTTTTTAAACTTGTTTTTTTTTTTTTTTACAATGATTTCCAACCTTCTCTTACATATTTTGTTTTTATGCATGTTCTGATTTTCTTTTTTCATGCATGTAAGGTTGTGAAAAACATGTAAAAACATATTTTGTTACATATTAGTATTTACAATTTGTAAAGAAAATCTTGTCAAGGAGTAGTAAAAAGAGTTGGGGCAAAATTATAAGAAAACAATTAAAATTACAATGAAAGGAAAGTAGTTTGCTATATCTTGCATTTTATTTATAATTTACTTAGTGTTGGTGTTGATGTAGGCAATGAATGTGAGAGGGTTTAGGGGTGATTGCAACTCCCACAAAATTTATTTCTCATCGGCTTCTTCCTCAACAATCACAAATATTGTATCCATTATCACACTAATTGGACTTATAGCTGCTGCTGCTTTCTCTGAATATATGTTTGTCTGAAAGGATTCAACAAGAATGAGTGATGATGCATTAACGTCTGTATATTTGCACTTTATTCTCCATTTGAAGAAGCCAAATGTCTTCTTTATGTTTTTCTTTAGTAATGTGGAGATACGCATAGCTTTAATTGGTAACAAAGACCCGTTAAAGTTAGGGAAAACTGCAAAAAAATCCTTACATGTTGGACTTATAATATATATATATATATATATATATATATATATATATATATATATATATATATATATATATATATATATATATATCCTAATAAATAAGAATGATTTTGCCACATGTCCTCTTCTTATTTATTTTGACACTTGTAATTTTCTAGATTTTTTGAATTATTTAATATCCACTTGTCATTTTTATAGAAATTTTCATTTTTAGTCAAATTCCACCTATTAAATACCATCTCATATTAATTAATTTTATTAATATATTAATTAATGTACATAATAACTTCCTATTTGTGAATTTCTCTTTCTATTAATATATTAATTAATGTATAATTATATTAATATAGATAATACCTTCCATTTGTGAATTCATATTAATTAATTTTATTAGTATAGGTTAATTAAGATTAAATTACATAAAGGGTCTATGTGATTTACCAAAACATGCATGAATGGTCTTTTTTTTTTTGCTCACACCTTTTACTTTTGGAGCTTTTAATAAACCCGTGTAATACACGGGTCACACACCTAGTATATATATATATATATATATATATATATAATTCACTTAAGTCCTAAAAACTGGTAATCGTATTCAATTTGACTATTTTGCTCGGTCAACAGGTCATCCAACTTTTAAAAATTACATTTTTGGTCTAGATTTTAATTTGTTTCTTTTTACAAATTTGGTTCAAAATTTATATTTTTGGCCTAGATTATTTTATTACAAATTTGGTTTAAAATCTACATCTTTGGCCTAGATTATTTTATTACAAATTCACTCTTTTTAAATAACTTTTGTATATATGAAATATCTATTTATAAAAATAGGTATTTATTAAGTATATCAATATATACAAATCTATTTTTATTATATATATATACATATATATATATATATATATATATATATATATATATATATATATATATATATATATAAACACGTATTTTACAAGAAAAAATGTATACAAACATCTATGTTTTGATAAATAAATCTTGTAAAAACATATTTATATATACCCAAATAAATGTTTGTAGACATTTCTTTTATAAAAATATATTTATATAATATTTTATAAACACATATTTTATAATAAACAAATTTGTATTCAAACACGTTTATATATAAAATTTATACAACCACATATTTTATAAAAATATATTCAAACACGTTTTTATAAACAAATGTATACAAACATTTTTTTATAAAAAAAATATACAAACATCTTTTTGATAAAAAACATCATTTGAGAAGTAAATTATTGACAATTAAATTATCTTTTAAAATATATACTCTAAATAATAGTTATATAAGAATTAATACCATAAAATAATAACTCTTATTCAAAATTTAAAAGGAATTTTGATCACCAATAAAAAAAAATGTATGTTTTCAAATTAAAAAACAAACATTATTGTCATAGAATTTTTTTTCTTCAACTCACACAACGTTATATTATTGTTTTAAACCCAAAATAATATATCAAAATTGGTTAATTTCCAAGTTATAAGTTACATTTCAAAGAAATTTAGATTTCACTGTTAGGGGTTTACCTTTTTATTACCTTCGTATCAAAGTTGGGTGCCAAGTCATACATGTTACCGAACAGAAATAATACTGAAATAAACTATTCACACCCATTGTTTGGTGTGGGTAAGGCTTATATATATATATATATATATATATATATATATATATATATATATATATACACACACACACACACACACACACACACACACACACATAATACACACACACATGCAAACGTTTACTATGAAATCGGTTTTTGTATACATTTTTATTTTATAAACATGTTTTTGTATACAAATATATTTACAATAAAATAGGTGTTTGTATAGATTTATTTATTATTATTTTTTTGTAAAATATATGTTTGTATACTTTTTTTTTTTTTTTTTTTTTATAAAAACGAATTTATATATATTTATGTACTTAATAAATACCTATTTTTAAAAATAGGTATTTTGAGTTTTTATATGATTTTTTTTTGTATAAATATGATTTTTTTAAAGAAAAAACATATTCGATTTTTTTTTGAGAAAAAAAGTTGTAAAAAAACTAAAGTTATGATGAATTCATAACAAATTTCATAAATCTAGGCCAAAAGGGTAAAATTTTGACCAAATTTGTAATAAAGTTTAAAATCTGGGCAAAAAATTTAAATTTTGGATCAAATTTGTTATAAAAATTTGAAATCTGGACCTAATGTGTAATTTTTGAAAGTCGGATGACCTGTTGACCGGGTAAAAGAGTTAAGTTGAATAAGATTACCGGTTTTTATGGCTTAATTGAATAAAAAAATATAATGACTAAATCGATTATTAGACCAATATGTAAGACTTTTTTTGCGGTTTTCCGTTAAAATTACGCAAAATACCATTCCCCCTTTCATATAATATCAAACTGCACCGCATGTATGTATATATATTTAATGTCTTGTAACATCCCAAATTTCGAGTCCAAAATTTAGTTTTTCAATTAAGTAGATTATAAAATATTTTACTGAAAACATTGTCGATATCAAAATAAATCCATAAACCATCATACATGTCTCATATCATAAGTAGCAATAAAATCAGAGTACAATCCTATAGATCTAAAATGCGGAATCTTGTGTGAGTGTGATGTATAGCTACCGCGCCGACTCCTTCCCCTTCGTTGTACCTGAAACAAAACTGAAAACTGTAATCAATGAACTTAGTGAGTTCCCGCATCATACCACACACATACAATATCATAATTAACCAAGAATATCTGAGTGCCGGCCTCCCCTTCGGTCTATTTCAACCGGATAGTTGCCTAGCATATCTGGGTGCTAGCCTCCCCTTCGGTCTATTTCAATCGGATACCGATGACTATTTCATCCCTACCACTTCCACATAAAAACATAACATACTGGCACATATAACAGAATAAATAGCGGCATACCAAATAATCATCACGCAGACAGTTATCTATTACGAACTTCTACCAATGGGTCAACATTGTGGCCTTAGACACACTTCTAACGGAAGGTAACTCACCTCATGATACTGCATGTCTAAACTTGCAGGAAGGAATCTCTAACAGCTCCTCTGATGGCTTCTGGCTATCAGAGACACATAACACTTAATTAGAGTCTTATAACATTACTTGGGGGGGGGGGGGGGGGGTAAAATAACTATTTTAACCATTGGTCCGGTTTGATAACATTCAAACGACCCCACTCTAGCGTATTACATTCAACACACCCTTAACCCATCTTGACTTCTCAAAGATCCACAAATGGCCCAATTTTCCAAATTTAGCCCAACTCTTCAAATGGGCCTTTTCCTAAATTCTACTAAATCTTTAGCCCAAAACAAAATAATCCAAATGGCCCAACATGGCCCAAGGGACCAATGCTTCTAACTCCAGATTCCCAGGCCCAAACTTACGCTTTACAGTGGGCTATGGGGCCCAAAAGTCCAGGCCCAACCTTCTAAGGCCCAAAACCCAAGAAATCCATTCTGTAAGCGTACGTGCAGCGTACCTGGCACGTACGCCCAATGTACGCTGATATTGACTACATACGGGAAGTTGACCTAGTACGCATGGCATACCATGGAGTACGCTCAACGTACTGGCCAACTTCTTTGGGACTTCATTCTTGACTTAATCCATTAAGCCCTCACGTCTAAAATGTAGATCCAGGCACTTTTAAACCTCCTAGACCATAAAGTCACAAACTTTATGTGATTGCATGCAAGGGTGGGGTAAAAACATGATTTTGGTCCAATAATCCAACTTTATGACCATCTAGCCCTTGCATGGTTTTGGCTTAACCAACAAGATCCGATTTTTATGACTCTAGGTGCTTCCAAGAGTCCAAAAGGACAGCTCTTAAGCTCTGGAACCAACAATACTCAAACACTCCTAACTATGGGGTCCAAAAAGCATAATAGAAACCCCAAATAACAAATCTAAGCATGCTATAGTCAAGTATGGAACTTGTGTAACGCCCGTAATCAATTTAGAGATGATAAGTGTCAAAAATGAATTTTTTATAAAAGATTATTTAGAATGAGTAACCTTAACTAAGTTATAGTATATGTTACAAGGATTCCGTACATATAAAGAACGCCAAAATCCGAGTTATAACAAAGAAGTTATGATTTGTCGAAGTTTCGCGACAGAACCGGCACGACGCTGAATGACGTAAAAAGTGAATTTACGTTAGAATGATATTTAGCCTTAGCAATCTAAACAAAAGTTTTAGAGTTCGTTAAACCATGAGCGTGCATAAAAAGAACGTCCGAATCTGACTTCGTATGAGGAAGTTATGATTTTTCTAAGTTTCGACTTAGCAGTATGCAGCCCGAATACTCGATTTGAGACCGAGCGGTTTTTAGCCGAAAAATCTAAACGAGAATCGGAGATCTCGTTAATAGTAGTGAAACGATAAAAAGATAGGCGTAAACGGACATCGGATGAAGAAGTTATGAATTTATAACAGAGTTTTCCTATCTCGGCCAACTAAAAATAAATAATAAAAATAAAGTCAAAATTAGACGACGGAGTCTAAACGAAAGTTGTAGATCGTAGTCTCACCTACTCGGGGATATAAAGAACGTCGAAAACGGAGCTCGTATGAGGAAGATATGAATTTTTGAAGTTTATTAAATAATTAAAGTATTTAATTTAAATAAAAATTCGGATATTATCCAAAAGGGGGGGGGGGGGGTGAGTCACCGGGCTTATCCAGGTTACGCCCAGCGTACCTAAGATTTTTCTTTGCTCATTTCTTCCATTTCTCTCGCGTTTTTGCATCGTTTTTCGTGCAAGAAATATCCCGAAGCCCTGGTATCATTCCCGATCCCCGAAGCAAGTCTCGAAGCCCCGAAGATCCTGAGAAGTACGATTCCCGAGCCGAAGCTCTGCCCTCGAGGAGCCCGGTTTTTGTGAAGATCTTCCAGATCTACCAAAGAATACTACTTCTACAAGCCGTAATGCTGTCTGATC